GCAAGATACAACAGTTTGGCTAGATCAGAATGTTCACATAATAGGACTTACACCAAAAAAAGTTCTTTGTAGTGCCTTTTTAGAAAGGACATGAGGCCAGGTGCGGTGGCTCATGCCTGTAATCCCAGCACTTTGGGAGGCCGAGGAGGGTGAATCACAAGGTCAAGAGACTGAGATCATCCTGGCCAACATGGTGAAACCCCATCTCTACTAAAAATACAAAAATTAGTAAGGCGCAGTGATGCACACCTGTAGCCCCAGCTACTCAGGAGTCTGAGGCAGGTGAATCACTTGAGCCCAGGAAGCAGAGACTGCAGTGAGCCAAGATCACACCACTGCACACCAGCCTGGAGACAGAGCAAAACTCTGCCTCAAAAACAAAAAAAACAAAAGGACACGAAGACAGTGAAAACCATTAGAATATGGGTAAAATGGCAAGTCTACTCAATGAAGGAGGAAGAAAAAAATCATTTTACCAGAAAACTTACACTTATTCTATTTAAACTGTGGTGATAGATAGGAGTCACCAGCACACACCTATGTCCAAACTAACTCACCACATCATCCACATTAATTATGTGCAGTTTTGGGACACCCACTACTCAGTAAAGCTGGGTGTGGCGGGGAGAGGAGCACCTACAGGAATTCAGATTTATCAAGATGAATTAGCAAGACACTAGCACCTTTATAAAAGGTTTAATTATTTTTTAATTGACCAATTGTATACCCTTATGATGTACATTATGTTTTGATACATTTTTGAATGGTTAAATAAAGCTATCTCACATATGTATTACCTTATATATAGATAAATAGATAATTTTTTTTTTTTGAGACAAAGTCTCTCTCCATCACCCAGGCTGGAGTGCAGTGGTGCAATCTCAGTTCACTGCAACTTCTGCTTCCCAAGTTCAAGAGATCCTCCCACCTCAGCCTCCCAAATAGCTGCAATTACAGGCGTGTGCCAACACGCTTGGCTAATTTTTGTATTTTTAGCAGAGATGGGGTTTCGCCATGTTGGCCAGGCTGGTCTCGAACTCCTGACCTCGAGTGATCCACCCACCTCAGCCTCCCACAGTTGCTGGGATGACAGCTGTTGAGGCCACCACACCCAGCCTCACATACTTATATTTTTTTGTGGTGAGAACATTTCAAACCTACTCTCTCAGCAATTTTCAAGTACACGATTCATTACTATTAAGAGTTGTCACCATGTTGAACAATTTCCTGAACTATTCCTAACTGAAATTTTGTATTCCTAGAAAATGTTTAAAAATTTCTTTAAATACCAAAGAAAAATAAATTTAAAAATTAATGACGTAGATGTCTAATTGACATAATAGTGATATATAAAAAACAATTTACAAACCATCTACAGTATAAGCCATGTATGCATTGAATATTAATAGAAAATATTTACGTGGCTGACCATCTGTATAGTGGTATGTCAGAACTTTTCACTTTATTTTTTTTGGAGACAGGGTCTGACTCTGTCACATAGGCTGGAATGCAGTGGCATCATCTCACTCGGCTCACTGTAACCTCCACCTCTCAGGTTCAAGGGATTCTCCTGCCTCAGCCTCCCAAGTACCTGGGATTACAGGTGTGCACCACCACACCGGCTAATTTTTGTTTTTTGTACTGAAGGGGTTTCACCACATTGACCAGGCTGGTGACCTCAAGTGATTAGCTCGCCTCAGCCTCCCAAAGTGCTGAGATTACAGACGTGAGCCACTGCGCCCAGCCATAGCAGTCTTTAATAACTTTTGTGAATGTTCAGAAACTCCACACGATAAGCAGCTATTCCTTCCTAAATCACCTATATATACACATACACACACACATATATATAAAGTTCCCGAATCAGCCATGTAATATATGTGTATATATATAAGCTAATTTTGTTTTTAATTAAAAACATCAAATTGCAAAATTTAGCCCTGACTTTGCTGCCGGAACTCAATGTCTCCCTTAACAGTTTGACTGCAAGGACAGGAAACTGGGCTGGCGGTTGGCACCGTGCTCAGCAGGGCTGCGGTTCGGGTGCCACCTGCCCACCCTTCTTCCCAGCCCAGCCGCACGTCCCTCCCGGCCGGGGAGCCCCCGAGCTCGGCCGCTCTTTCCCGTGAAAGTCTCCTGGCGGGTCCGGGAGCTGTTCCCACACACGTCCGCGTGGCGCCGCCGCCGTCTGTGCCTGCAGTGGGACCGCTGGACGCTCTGGCCTGGGAGTGCGAGGCGCAGGCCCGGCCCCTAGTCCTCGATGGAGATGGACTCGTGCGGAGGGCGGGAAAATCGCCCCGGCTGTGGGGCCGCTGGGGCAAGAGCGGGCCGGGGCCCCGACTCGCCTCCGCCTGAGCGCCCCCAGCGCCGGGGAGGGAGCGGCCCCTGCCGACCCCGAGCCCCGTCTCCCGACTCGGGCCTCCGCAGTCTCCAGCCGCGCCCGCAGCGCCGCGGTCCTCCGGGTCTTTGCTTCGGAATCTCCAGCCCGGGCGGCTCCTTCCAAGCCCCGCGGATCGCGCGCTCCGGGTTCTGCTCTGATTCGGCACGTGGCCAGTCTCCGCTGGGGCTCAGACCGCGCGCCCCTCGCCTGGTCCCTAAACGCCTGGCGGGGCCCTGGCGAAGGGGGCGGAGACCAGCGACCTCCAGGCCCCGCGGCGTCTACGAAGCGTGCCCGCCGCGCGCTCTCCGGAGACCCCCGCCCCGCGCGAGCTGCCCCTGGCCCGGCCCCTCCCCGGCGCGCGCCCCGCTCCTCGGCCCTGCAATCCCCGCCTCCCCCAGCAGAGGCCGCGCCCGGGAGAACGCGGCCTCCACCACCGGCTCTGCCCGAGACGCCGCGAGGCGCTCCCGCCCACCCCGCTGCAGGCGAGGCTCCGGCTCCGGCCCCCCACGCCCAGGGCGAGCCCCCTGAGCCACGCGGGACAGGAAACCAGGTCGTGAGCGTCCTTACCCCAGACGTTCTAGAATCAAGGGGAGGGAGTCCCAGCTTGTGAGCTGGCCCCTAAAACCAGCATTTCATATCAATGAAAACCACCAATTGCCAGATGACTCAAATCCCGAACGGATTTCCCCACTGCACGGCAACAAACCATCCCCAGGAAGGGCGGCGCAGCCCCTGCCGCTAGGAACCGGAGGCAGGCGGGCGCCGGCAGCCAAGCCAAGTGAATGCGGCTCTGCACCCCTTTGGCTGGGGGGAAACGGGGTCTGACCTCAAGGGGGGCAGGAATGAGGACGCCTGGGCCCAGCAGAGGGACTCAGTGTCCGTGAGTCCTCAGGGCATCCGTGCATGCAGGAGGGACGCCCCCACCCAGCAGCCTCGGGCACTCACCGCAGCGGGCAGCGAAGAAGTCTCGTGTTTTGCTCTCGTCTGAAGGGCTCCGAGAATCCCAGCCACTCTGGAACCGCCTTCACCTGGAATGTAGTCTTGTCTCTAACCGTCTCCGAAATTAAACTAACTGCTTGCCAGGCCCTCACCTGCACCATATCTGAATCTGAGGCCCGACAGGTGGGCAGCCTTTCAGCTGCACCCAGCACGCAGGTGTGAGCTCCTCCACCCTGCCGGGGGCCATGTTCCTCTGGGTTTTACTTGATTCGGGTACTGCTGTCTCCCCCAAGTTCTGCTTCCCCTCGCCGGGGTTACATGCGAAGGCCTTCCAGAGGGTAGAGACCCATCCATCCCAGGCCGGAACCCCCAGGGGCCCTGGCACCTCAGACGCCGAGTCTTACGGGAAGCGGCCGGGCATGCCTGCGGCTCACTGACGTCACACCCGAGCCTGGCGTTGGAGACCAAAGAATTACCACTCTGTTGATGCCACAAGCAATAGCTGTTTGTTACAGGACACTGCTTGGGAATTGTTGCATATATATCTTGCTGCCATTAGTCTTCTAAAACTCATATAGGTCATTTATCAATTAAATAACTTGCCCATGTGGATGGACCTCATTGGTCACGCTGTACGCAGCAAGCTTTGGGGATCCCGAGATGCCTCCCACTTGCACACATTTATGATTGTATCATTCTGGTCCTGGGGTGTGAGTGCTTCTTCCTGACCGTCTCTGAAGCTTTGGCTCAGCTTTGGGTGAAGAGGAGTTGAGAATGCACAAAAAGACACACACTCAAGCTTCAGCAAGCAGCGGCCTTGGGCGGCACGCAGCACCTGGCAGGGCCAAGCAGCTCCTGGGGACTGGCTGCTGCTACACACCCCGACGTGACGCCTGGAGGAGCTGCTGGGATGGACCCACAATTCACATCACTCCTGTTAGGGTCATTCCAGTCACTGATCAAAGGGGAGATGGCCCAATCAATGCAAGACATCATGATGCCTCATTTCCAGCCTGCCAGCTCCTGGGAATAAGTGAGACTTCACAGCGCCTGGGCATGCAAGAGTCAGTCACAGAGCACAGGGTGGGGGCCCGGGAGGCCTGCGGCCACCCTGTGATGGGTCTCCACCGATGAGGACCCAGCCCTAGAAAGTCCAGCTCCTGCCCTCTTCCCAGGATCCAGCAGCAAGGTGGGAGTGCGAGGCCCGGGGCGCTTTGCAGAGTGCCTCGTGGAACTCCAGTTGTCAGTGTCCATGAATGCGTAAGCCTGGCCCAAGGACACTCAAGAAGTGCAGGTACTCACCCAGGTGACATAACAGCAGAGATGCCAGAGAGGACTCGTGCTAACTCCCCCAGAGCCTGGAGCATAAAGAACAAGCTGGAAAGCCCTAACTGACCTCCGCCTCATTCTGTGTCCAAAGCCACAGCCTCCCCATATCCTTACAGCACCAAGCCGCTAAGAGCTGCTCTGCTCGGCCTTTATTGGCCCCAGAGCTCTAAAACCACAAGCTTTAATATGGCCCAGTGCAACACTTCAATTTAGCAGCCTTCTCCAATGCCAGCAGACAACCATAAAACTCAGAGGTCAGCTTAGGGTTGGCAGCAGGTGAGTTATAAGCCAGCGTTGGAGGGAGGGAAATAGGTAGGTCTCTGCCCTCTGAGACCTTTCTAGACATTGCTGCTCTTTTATTCACCTGCAGCCTCAGCAGTATAAGGCGTGGAGGGGGAAGAATGAGAGGCAAACGGCCTGGGCCCAAATCGCCCGGTGGGGAACAGCGGTCTTTGCGAGCCATCACCTCCCCTCAATAAAATAAATCTGATTCACGTTGAGTCATTCGCGGATTCTCTGAATTCATCTCTCCAGATAAATTGCAGAGACGGGGTGGTGTCGGCCCCACACAGAGTATGTTGAGTTGATGCAGCTGGACCCGCTGCAAGGAATGGCTCTAATTGATACCCACGGGGCAGATGGGATGGAGCAGAGTCAAAATGCTTCGCAGGGAAATTTTGGCCACCACCCTCCCTGGGAACCTGATTATTTGAAATTGCATGGAGTTGAAAGAAGAGTAGAGTTTACCAAATTGTGCTTTCCAGAAGTCAGTTTTGCAGGATATCAATTGTAGTAACATGGGGGGAAAGGGTTTGTTGTGGTTCTTGTCATTGTTACGTGGAGGCTTGTGGAAGCTGTTAAGATACAAATGTGCATGGGGAAGCTCCAGGAAAGGCATTAAGCGGTCAGCACCCTTCCCACGGCCTCTGAGCCTGCTGCTCTGACCTGCAGTGTCGCGTGGCCCCCCAGTGGCCTCTCGCCTGACCTGACCATGGTCTGCTCTCTTCCGCCACCACACCAGCCCCAGTGATGCTGTCCAGTCAGAAGGGCGATGAGCTCACTCTTCTGTTCCAAGCCCTCCAGAACCTTCTCAAGCCACTTGGGAAAAGAGCTAAAAACCTTACCTTGGCCTGGAACACCTACACACTTTGCCCTCCCTCTTCTTCTTCTTTTTTGTTTTATTGTTAATCGTTGTTGTTGAGACCAGGTCCCACTATATTGCCCAGGCTGGTCTCAAACTCCTGGGCTTAAGTGGCTTGCCCGCCTCAGCCTCCAAACATTCTGGGATTACAGGTGTGAGCCATCGTGCCTGGCCCTCCCTCTTCCTCTTGCTGTTTCTCAAACCCCCGGTTGACTTGCTCACCAGGTCCTTTGTCCGGTCCCCATCCTGGACGCTCATCCCCACGTTGTCCACCTGCTTATCCCTCACCTGCGTCACTGCTTCCCCGAGACCTCCCTGTGCCGACCAGCCCTACTCCCATGCCCATCTCCCACCATGCTTTCTTTATCTTAACGTCAACTGCTGCTTAACTGAACATGATCTGTCTCTCTCCACGAGAACGTGAGTCCCCACCCCAGATCAGGGTCTTGGTCTTGCTCACGTTGTATTTCCAGCACCCACCAGTGCACATATTAGGGGTCCAGTCAAGGTATATTTGCCCACAGTGTCCATATCACAGGTTCTTTCGGGAGGCTGACATTCCATCTCCGTTCTTGCCCCTGCCATGCTAACCCCTGTGTGGCTTTGGGTAAGTGACTGCACCTCTCTCTAAAGTCAGAGGGTTGGGCTCAATCCGGAGTCACCAGCTGAATGTCCTCAGGGGCCAGAAAGAAATGACATTGTGATGTAGACAAGGGGTTAAGAGGGAGTGGCAGGGATTTGGGTGAACTGGAAAGTCTACATGGATACCTAAAATATTTAAAATTGGTCAAGTGCCGTCTGCAAGAAATACTTCTGCAGGCCACAAATCAGTCATGTGAGGGCTGCATGCTCCCTAAAGCCCACTTCACACAAAACTTCTCAATTCCAAGATCTATATGAACTGGGACAAATCATTCCTCCAAAGAAAGCTGTTTTTATTTGGTTGTCTGGAAAATAATTTATTGTAGGGTACAGGTTTCAGGGATCCCCAGAGTATCTGGGGCATAGGCACAGGGGTCCTTCCAGGGACCTCAGCCAAAGGTCCCTTCAGCCTAGTGACTCCAGTTATGAGACACGCTACCTTGTGAGCACAGGCTCCTCTGTTCCTCCACCCTTGGCTCAGTCTCTAAGTGCCTGCTTTCAAATTCCAATAGGAGGAGTTTTGGGCCTGTCTCAGAGTCAGCTCCGGAGCAGCAATGGCCCAAGAAGGGCCAGGACTCGTGGTCCAATCCTAGCCGTATGAGCACACTAAGCGTGATAGAGTTTGGCTGTGTCCCCACCCAAATCTCATCCTGAATTGTAGCTCCTTAATTCCCATGTGTTGTGGGAGGGACCCGGTGGGAGATAATTGAATCCTGGGGACAGTTTCTCCAAACTGTTCCCGTGGTACTGAATAAGTCTCACAGATCTGATGGTTTCATAAGGAGAAACCCCTTTCACTTGGTTCTCGTTCTCTCTTGCCTGCCGCCATGACTGTGAGGCCTCCCCAGCCACATGGAACTGTGAGTCCACGAAACTTCCTTTTCTTTATAAATTACCCTGTCTTGGGTATGCCTGTATCAGCAGCACAAAAACAGACTAATACACACTAGATGAGGGTAAGCAACAGAACTTCCCAATGCAAGATCAAAATGGACAGCTTCAAGTTTCCCAGTTATATTTTCTCTGGACATTTCTGGTTTTCCATCTTTCCAGTGGTACCGCAGACCGTGGCTGCTGCTTTCTTCCCCTCCTGGCTCATGGATGCGTCCAAAGCAACAGCCTCCCCATATCCTTACAGCACTAAGCCACTAAGAGCTGCTCTGCTCAGCCCTTATTGGCCCCAAAGCTCTAAAACCACAGCTTTAATATTGCCCAGTGCAACACTTCAAAGTCCTGGCACCCCTCTGGTGGACGTGGCTTTCCACCAGCACCCAAGGGGCTGCCTGCCTCTGTCTGCCTGGCATTTTTCTGTTGGTTGGAAAGGGAGCCTTGGCCACTGAGCACATGGACACAGCGTTCTCCTGTGACCAGCAGTGTTGCCTCTTTGTCATTCACTCTCCGCACATATGAGATGTCATGGGACTTTATGAGTGCTAAATCAGTTTTATTGGCCATATGATTTGATTGATCTTGTTAGACCTGACAAGAAATCAATTGGAAAAAAATATATATACCTTCCCGGAATGTGCTCTCCACTTTAAGGTAAAAGAACAATCTAACACGCAAGAGGAAGATCCAAGAAGCAGCCTTGGTGAAATATCACCACGCCTGTGACGGGGAAAGAGGCTACTTTATGACCTCCAGAACCCAGAAGGAAATGAGGAGGGAGGCAGATGAAAGGAACTCCGTAAATTTAGGAACGTCGGCCGGGCGCGGTGGCTCAAGCCTGTAATCCCAGCACTTTGGGAGGCCGAGGCGGGTGGATCACGAGGTCAAGAGATCGAGACCATCCTGGTGAACATGGTGAAACCCCGTCTCTACTAAAAATACAAAAAACATTAGCTGGGCGTGGTGGCGCGTGCCTGTAATCCCAGCTACTGAGGAGGTTGAGGCAGGAGAATTGCCTGAACCCAGGAGGCGGAGGTTGCGGTGAGCCGAGATCGCGCCATTGCACTCCAGCCTGGGTAACAAGAGCGAAACTCCGCCTCAAAAAAAAAAAAAAAAAAAAAAATTTAGGAACGTTACCTGCGGAGGGCCCTGGGAGCTTCAGAAAACAGGAGCTGCGCTGTGCCCAGATGTTCTCCAGGCTCCTACCACAAACACCAGAGATGACGGCACAGCCACGGAAGTCACACAAGACACACTTGAGACCCCTGGAGAGGCGGCAATGTCAGCGTCCACCCCCTGTCCCATGTGATAAAAAGAGGAAGGTCGTCTTGAATCACAGTCATGCTGACTCTGCCATTCTCTGGCTGGGTGACCTTGAGCCAATAATTTTCCTTCTCTGGCCCTCAACATGCTCATACGTAAAATAGGTACAGTGAAAATACCACACCAGACAATGCTGCAGCATGGTGCAAGGCTGACGTGAGATCACATGTGCAGAGCACCGCACAGCCAGGAACATACCAAGCTCCATGCATGCTCGTGTGTGTGTGTGTGTGTGTGTGTGTGTGTGTGTGTGTGTGTGTGTTTGAAACGGAGTCTTGCTGTGTTGCCCAGACTGGAGTGCAGTGATGCAATCTTGGCTCACTGCAACCTCTGCCTTCTGGGTTCAAGTGATGCTCTTGTCTCAGCCTCCTGAGTAGCTAGGATTACAGGCATGCACCACCATGCCTGGCTAATTTTTGTATTTTTAGTAGATACAGGGTTTTACGAACCACTGACCTCAAATGATCCACCTGCCTTGGCTCCCAAAGTGCTGGGATTACAGGCGTGAGCCACCGCGCCTGGCCTCTATAAACGCTTCTTGCTTCCTTGAGTTGCTGATTATGAAGGTAAGTCCAGTGTTGATTCAACAGAGAGGCAGAATGACCCAGTGGAAGGAACTAGGCTGTGGAACCTAACAGACCAAGGTTCAAATGCAGATTCTCACAGCATGACCAGCTGTGACTCCCGAGGCCACTATTTCACCTTTGTTTCTTCGTCCATAAATAGGCCCTGTATCAGAATCACCTGTATTGCTTGGTAAAAGTTCCCATTTCTGAGGCTGGGTGTCTGTAATCCCAGCACTTTGGGAAACTGAGAAGGAGGGATTGTTTGAGCTCAGGAGTTTGAGACCAGCCTGGGCAACACAGCAAAACCCCATCTCTACAAAAAATAAAAATAAAAATTAACCAGGCATGGTGGAGCATGCCCGTAGTCCCAGCTACTCAGGCGCTAAGGTACAGGGATCACTTGAGCCCCAGGAGGTCGAGGCTGCAGTGAGCCATGATTGTGCCACTGCACTCCAGCCTAGATGACACAGACCCTGTCTCAAAAAAAAAAGAGTCCCAATATCTGGGCCCCAGGCTCACAGAATCAGACCCTCTGAGGGTGAGACCCTACCCACTAAATTTCTAACAAGCTGCCTCCACCCCACTCCAGGTGGCTGGATTGCACAGTGGATTTGAGAACTACCAGGCATGTTGCAGGCAGGCTGGGACCGCTGTCACTGGCTCTCCAGTGGAGCCTTTCATAAGAGGGGCTGAGTTACCAAAGGTCCCTTGTAAGCCCCCAAGTTACCACCAGACACCTACAAGGTGCCTGCAGTCACCTCTGTGCCCTTCCCATCCCTAGGTCTCCCTATCCTGCTGCCTGGGAGACTCTGTGGGCTCGAAAAATAAAATTCAGAGGAGTTTTTCGAGACTCTGACGTTTCAGAAGTGAACGGTGCGAAGAAATTGAAAAGCAAGCACGATCTCCACCCTCTGTGGCCGACACTCACCGCCCCAACCACTGCCAACACTGTTTCTCCATTCCATTTTCTTTCTCACTTTTAATCATTTTGGTCAGATCAGACTTTAGAAATCCATCCTTAGAGTCTGATAGGGTCATTTTACAAGTGAAAAAGTGGAGATGAAGAGATCTAGGAATTCTGGTTTTAAATTAATTTGGGTCTTTAGCAGCAAAATTCAGAACAAATGAGAAATTGGTATTTTCAAAATGCAAATATCTAAAGAATTAAGGGGTTGTGAGTCAATCTCACATTTCTGTTAACTGGATAAATTAATTCTGTTAATTGGATAAATTAACCTTTTCTCTAAGCACCCCCAACAACTGTGACAATGGGGTGGAGGGGGAGATGGGGAGGAGAAGTAGCTACCTGGAACATGGGACACACCTCATAACACCAGGCTGTGTGGAGAGCCACAGTGGGATGGATGGATACTTAAGGTTCCTGAGGGTCCTAGGACGGCGTTGGGTAGGAGACGAGTGGGCTGCAAGGTGAGAGATAAAAGGGTTAGAATGAGAACTGCATCTAGACTCTTTGGCAACATGAGACACTACTACACACCTATCAGAAAAGCCAAAATTCAGAACACTGACATTACCAGATGCTGGGGAGGGTGTGGAGGAACAAGAACTCGCTGTTGCTGGGAATGCAAAATGGTACAGCCACCTTGGAAGACAGTTTGACAGTTTCGTATAAAACCAAACATACTCTTACCATAAGATCCAGCAATCTCACTCCTTGGTATTTTCCCAGATGAGGTAAAAACTTAAGCCCACAAAGACTCGTGCATGAACATTTTAGCAGCTTTATTCATAATTGCCAATACTTGGAAGCAATCAGGATGCCCTGTGGTGGGTGAATGGATAAATACGCTGTGAGGCATCCAAGCAACAGAACATTATTCTGCAGTAAAACAAAAGAGAGCTGTGGGCTGGGCGAGGTGGCTCACACCTGTAATCCCAGCATTCTGGGAGGCTGAGGCAAGTGGATCACAAGGTCAGGAGTTCGAGACCAGCCTGGCCAACATGGTGAAACCCCACTGCCACTAAAAATACAAAACTTAACCAGGTGTGGTGTTGCATGCCTACACTCCCAGCTACTCAGTAGGCTGAGGCAGGAGAATCACTTGAACCTGGGGAGGCAGAGATTGCAGTGAGCCGAGATCATACCACTGCACTCCAGCCTGTCTTTAAAAAAAAAAGAAAAAGTGAGCTGTCAACACATGAAAATATATGGAGGAAAATTAAATGCATATTGCCAAGTGAAGGAGGCCAATCTCAAAAGGCTACATACTGTATGATTTCAACTGTATGACTGTCTAGAAAAGGCAAAACCATGGAGACAGTAAAAAGATCAGTGATTGCCAGGGGTTGGCAGAGGCAGAGAGGAGTGACTAGTTGGAGTCCAGAGGATTATTAGGGGAGTGAAACTATTCTATATGATACTATAATGCTGGATACATTTTTCTAAACCTATAGAATGTACAACACCAAGAGTTAGCTCCAATGTAAACTGTAAACTTTACTTAATAACACTGTTTCAATGTTAGCCCATTAAGTGTAACAAATGTACCACATGAACACAATTATTATATTGCATAATTATTATATTATTACATAATATTACATACTAGTAGAATAATAAGGAAAGCTAGGGGTGGGACTTATATAGGAATGCTCTGTACTTTCTGCTAGATTTTTCTGAAATCTAAAACTGATCTTAAAAGTAAGCTCTATTCATTAAAAAAAAAAAAAATTATGCCAGCCATGGTGGTTCATGCCTGTAATCCCAGCACTTTGGGAGAATCAGTTGAGGTCAGGAGTTTGAGACCACCCTGGCCAATATGGTGACACCCTGTCTCTACTAAAAACACAAAAATCAGCCAGGCATGGTGGCACACGCCTGTAATCTACTCAGGAGGCTGAGGCAGGAGAAATGCTTGAACACGGGAGGCAGAGGTTGCAGTGAGCAGAGATTGTGCCACTTCACTCCAGCCTGGTGACAGAGAGAGACCCTGTCTCAAAAAAATAATAATAAAATAAATTAGAAAACCCACGGAGAAATTTTTTAAAACTGCATTTGAGCTGGCCCCTTACCCACTCAAAAAAATAATTCTTTCATCCCCAAGTCCACAAACTCTGGCCAGAACTATGTTTGCTGCAGCTCTGCTGCACCGTCTCTGGGGAAGGCTGTCAGGAGGTAAGCATCGCTGGGAGCAATGGGTCTTTGAGCAAAAAGACCTGGGCTCCAAATGACTGAACTGGAACCAAACTTCAGAAAAGCAGCTTGGTTCAGAGGCAGCCCCAAGGCGCAGACATGGAAGGCAGTTTTCTACTAACAGGAAGCATAGGAAGATACCCACCTCCTTCGTTGTTATTAAATATTTATCCAGGAAGATGGCGTGGAGAACATCACATCACTTTTCAGTTACTTCCTAGAGAAAAAGGCTAAGGGCCCTCTCCACATGGAGGTCTTTGGCCTGAGAAGAAGAAGAAGAGAGGAGGGGAGGGGAAGGAGAAGGAGAGGGAGGGGGAGAAGGGAGAGAGTGAAAAGGAGGGAAAAAGCGGGGGAAGAGAACAGCAAGACAGCAACTAACATTGACTGAGCTCTTACCATGAGCTAGTACCACTGTTTTAAGCACTTGTCGACAACCTGGTGAAGCAGGTACTATCGTTATCTCCATTTTTATGGTCCTGGAAAATTGTCCAAATTGGAAAATCCTGGGTAGTGCGCTTCTATTCACAGCAGCCAGGATCTTCTCTTTGCCTCCTTCTATTTCAGTAGCAGTTGAAGTTTGCTCGGGTCCTTCTATCCCTTTCATGAAGTCCTGTCCCCCCTTTCCTTACGTTTTCTTGCCTTGCTTCTGACCTGAGATTGTCATGGGTTGTCCAGGCCCAGTCAGCCCCCATGACAGTGGCTCCAGATTCCAAAGACCACCTGTGGGTGGGACCGTGCCCTTCAGAGGATGCCTGCAGCTGAGAGCCACATGTGGCCTGATTGGCCCATCATGGGCCCTCCAGGCTCTACTTTATGTTCTCTAGATCACCCATTTTTGTCATACTTGAAATCAGGTGGCCTAGACTCTGATATTCCTGCGCCTCATTATTCTACCTATAAAATAATAATAAACCATGCCTTGAAAGTCATGCAAATTGATTACATTCTGACTGTGAAACTGTAACCTTCAATGTTCTGCACAAGTAGGGATGATGATGGTGCTGCTGTTGAAGGGAAGAATAATGATGCTGCTGATTGTGATGATGGTGATGATGGTGATGATGATGGTGATGATGATGATGGTGATGATGATGATGGTGATGGTGATGATGGTGATGATGGTGATGGTGATGGTGATGATGATGACGATGATGATGATGGTGATGGTGATGATGATGGTGATGGTGATAATGATGGTGATGACGATGATGATTATGGTGGTGATGGTGATGATGATGATGGTGATGATGGTGATGGTGATGATGATGGTGACGATGATGATGGTGATGATGATGATGGTGATGATGGTGATGATGACGATGATGATGGTGATGGTGATAATGATGGTGATGACGATGATGATTATGGTGGTGATGGTGATGATGATGATGGTGATGATGACGATGATGATGGTGGTGATGGTGATGATAATGGTAATGAAGATGATGGTGATGACGATGATAATGGTGATGATAGTGATGATGATGGTGAGAATGATGGTGATAGTGATGACGATGATGATAATGGTGGTGGTGAGGATGTCACATGATGGTGACAATGATGGTGATATGATGATGGTGGTGATGGTGATGGTGACAATGATGGTGATAGTGATGATGGTGATGATGGTGGTGATGATGGCAATGATAATGGTGATGATGGCGGCGATGGTGATAGTGATTAAAGCAATGATGGTGGTCATAGTGATGATGGTGATGGTGATGGTGGTAATGATGGTGATAGTGATGATGGTGGTGATGATGATAGTGATTACAGTGATGATGGTGGTCATAGTGATGATAGTGAGGACGATGATAATGGTGATGGTGGTGATGATGGTGACAATGATGTTGATAGTGATGGTGATGGTGATGGTGGTGATGACGATAGTGATAATCATGGTGATGATAATGATGATGATGGTGACAATGGTGATAGTGATGATCATGGTGATGATGATGGTGATAACGATGGTGATAGTGATGATGACAGTGATGGTGATGGTGACAATGGTGATGATAGTGATGATGATGATGATGATGATGACGGTGGTGGTGCTAAAATTCAGGGGATGTTTCCACGCCCCAATTGTCTTTTCATTTCACCCTCTTTGCTATTATAGGGCATACCTCCCCACATAACTGTCTCTTCATTTGGGGCAGTCTCATTTCCTTTTATTTGCCCATTCCTAGGTTTGAATTTCCTCCAGCAGTGCATCACAGTCCTTTTTGTCCTCCATCACACACCCTCTTTGGATGTCTCCCAAATGCAGTCATCAGCTTCCTTTATCTCCTCTCATTGTCTGTCTGTGAGAGACTTTATACTTGGGCATAACCAGGACTGGAAGCAAGATCTTTATCTAAATCTCCTGCAGCCTCCCTGAGCCCACAGCAGAGAAGTGCACGTGATTCGCTCCCAGCTGGATCACCTCCCCATGATGTCCCCTTCCCTCCCCCGAGTCAATTTGCTGGAGGCAAAGACAGAGTCATTGGTTGTGGATGCTCAAGTCTGATGGTGAGAGTGGGAACAGATCCCCTACCCCTTTCTATACATAATGGGAAAGGCACAGTGTCGTGCAGAAAGATCGCCGGCAAATTAACTTTGAAGTTTGCATTCCTTAATGACCTCCTTTCATCCATCAAGTTTCAAATGCTGGCACCTTCTGCATACCTCACTTCTAGCTGACAGAGCCTGGAATTAAATGCAGCTCTGGGCTTTGGTGGTGCAAAGACAGTTATCTGTCTTCCAGCAGCCTTGTGGAACACCACATTTCTCACCTGCTGCTGCAGTAATGAGCCACACCCCCCGCATACGTCTGGAAGGCTCAGGTGGTATTCTGTGGAGAGTTGCCTCTCCACTGGGCTGAGACACAGGAGAGCTTGGTTCTCCATAAACGAGTGGGACCGTGGCCAGATCACTACTGTCTTCAGAACACAGTTTCTTTGACTATAAAATAAAGCAGCACTTCCAGCTGAAGCCTATAGCTTCCCAGTCTGCATTCCTCAAGTCTTAGCTCAGGTTCAGCAGTCCACGTAAACCTACAGCCTGAAGCAAATACCGCCTGGTGTACACATATACAAACACACACACACACCAATTCACACACATACACCCTAACACACACACTAACCACAAACACACACCAGATGCACACACTAACACTACCACCATCACCTCACAAACAAAACACACACATTAACCACACACATGCACACACATACACCAACTCACATATGTACACACTCTAACCCATACACTAACCACACATGCACACCA